AAAAAAGTTTGTTGGGAATTTTTTCTGCTATTCTGCAAAATTACTCCTTCGTTGACTAGAATGAATCATTAAATAGAAAATTTTATGAGAATTAAAACAATGTTATTTTTAAGATTAATATGCAGTCAGAAAGTTTTATAATTATTATTTATTGTAAATTTATCAGAAAAACTCATTATTTTTTGCATTTTTATCGTAATAGAACACTTAAATAGAAATCATAGTAATCATTTCTAAGTAATTTTTGATATTTAAAAAGATTCTACTATTGAAATATCCAGAACTGAATTAATTTTAATGATTTACTTTAACTAAAAAAAAAAAAGTTAATATTTTGAATCCCTCTTGTGGGCAGGTAAAGGGTTAGATTTATAAAAAAAACCAAATGATAGATAAAGACATGCATCTAAATAAAAAAAAATATACTGATTTGGTCATTTTTGATAAAGTTATAACAATTAACAAAGTTATAAGTTTTATACACTGGACTACAAGGAACTTCCATCAGAAACAAAAATATACTATTCTAAATCAACTTTTCGCGATGTTTTAAAATGTGCAATTAGACTTTTTCTATAACTTCTAAGTTTTAATATTATTAAAAAATAGTTTTTACATATAAAAAAAAATAATTAAGAACAAAAAAAATTGTTTTAAATTAATACTGATTTGATATAATATTTAATATTAATTTGATTATTAATAAGTTAAAAATAAGGAAAATGACATATTTAACCAATTTTGTTAATCGTTTAAAGTTGATTGTTGTAAATGTTTATAAAAAAAAAAAAAAATTTATTTTACCATAACTTTTAGCTCAATTGGTAAGTTTGACATTGACATAATTAAATAGAAAATTTTATGACAATTAAAAAAATTGTATCGTTAAGATCAATATGCAGTCAGAAAGTTTTATAATTACTATTTATTGTAAATTTATCAGAAAAGCTCAATATTTTTTTGCATTTTTATGGTAATAGATAACTTAAATAGAAGTAATAGTAATAATTTCCTAGGAACTTTTGTTGTTTGTTGAAAAGATTCTATAATTGAAATATTGAGAACTTAATTAATTTTAATGATTTACTTTAACTAAATGTACCAATCAAAACAAAGTTGTTAAAAAGATTTACTCAATTGAGTTTATTATAAAATTTGATTATATTTGTAAAAATCAATTGTTAATTCAGGAGAAAAAACAATCATTTTTTTTAGAAATGATTTATATAGCAACACGTTAGAAAAAAATTTGAATATTATAGTCTAATAGTAGCACACACAAACAGAGTAATAAAATTATTAAATTACAAAGTAAAATGATTTAATTTTGTAGTTGAAACCTATCATATCAAACTTCATTCGTTAATAAATATTTTGAAAACATTAGAAATTAATGATTTTAATTGTCTTTATGGAGACGATGTAATAACTAACTGTTTAATTGATAAATTAGAATTTTTTTTTCAATTTTTGAGAGTAATATCTTCAACTAGATACGAATTGTAGTAATTTGACGTATTGTTGAAAAAAGTAGGTCAAGTTAGAGCAGAGAAAATAAATGATAGTCACAAAAAAATATCTTCTCGGCTTTGCATCGAAGCGAAAACTTAAAATATAGTAAAATAATTTTAATACGAATAAGAAATTTCTTCTTGCAAGGGGCGACTAAAGTGATGGGATCCTTGATCTTTATTGAAGTTATTGAATCTAAATGTGATAAAAATCAAACGAGTTAAAATTTATACTAACTTAAAAAGAATTAAGAAAAAATGCAAAAAATTCATTGCCATATGCGGGTTGGAACCTCGTACCCCAAGCGTGTAAAACATAAATTTTACCAACTCGGCAACCGTACGTTGCTTCCGGCGGTTGAAAAATTGGCTATTTAAGCTAGTTCAAATTTCAAAGTTATTTTTCTCGACTTAAAAGAAACAAACATATTTAAATAAGTTTAACTATCTATACTATATCAATTTTAATTTATATAATATTTATGAAAATCTGTACTCCCCTTGTCAGGTATTTTAAAATAAAATAAAATACAAAACCCAGAATTTTAACACAAAAATAGCATATTTTTGCATACGGTAGTCATTTTTACCATGAAGACAAATCCAGAGGTCAAATTTTTTTTTTTCACATTAAAGTATATTACATAAGCTTTAATTTAAGATATATTTAAAAGTGTCAGTATTTCCGGAATACTTTCAAAAATTAAATTGAAAATATCGTAGTAACAATACGCATGTTTAAAGTTTTGACCCCCCTTGTTAAAGGGGTATGATCCGATTTACAAAAAAAGCGTGCCAGATGAAAGGGGTATATCAATATTTATTATAAAAAAATAATAATATTGATCCATACATTTTTCCAAAAGTTATATAAAATATAAATTAAATAATATAACATATAAAATCGAGATTTTTTTCACGGAAATCGTACGTTTTTCTTTAACTTTGATGTCCGTTTTCACCACGAAGACAAGTCCAGAGGTCAAATTTTTTTTTTTCAAATTAAAGTATATTACATAAGCTTTAATTTAAGATATATATAAAAGTGTCAGTCTTTCCGGAACATTTTCAAAAGTTAAGTTGAAAAAGTTCTACTTTCTATACGCATTTTAAAAGGTTTGCACCCCCCCTGTATAAAGGGAAATGGTCCGATTTTAAAAAAAAGTATGTCGAATGAAAGAAGTATATATAAAGTATTTATCATTAAAGAATAAAGTTGATTCATGCATTTTTTAAAAAGTTATAGCAACATAATGTTAAAAAATGTAAAATATAATATCAAGAATTTTTTCACAAAAATAGCATATTTTTGCATACGGTAGTCATTTTCACCATGAAGACAAATCCAGAGGTCAAATTTTTTTTTTTCAAATTAAAGTATATTACATAAGCTTTAATTTAAGATATATTTAAAAGTGTCAGTATTTCCGGAATACTTTCAAAAATTAAATTGAAAATATCTTAGTAACAATACGCATGTTTAAAGTTTTGACCCCCCTTGTTAAAGGGGTATGATCCGATTTACAAAAAAAGCGTGCCAGATGAAAGGGGTATATAAATATTTATTATAAAAAAATAATAATATTGATCCATACATTTTTCCAAAAGTTATATAAAATATAAATTAAATAATATAACATATAAAATCGAGATTTTTTTCACGGAAATCGTACGTTTTTCTTTAACTTTGATGTCCGTTTTCACCACGAAGACAAGTCCAGAGGTCAAATTTTTTTTTTTCAAATTAAAGTATATTACATAAGCTTTAATTTAAGATATATATAAAAGTGTCAGTCTTTCCGGAACATTTTCAAAAGTTAAGTTGAAAAAGTTCTACTTTCTATACGCATTTTAAAAGGTTTGCACCCCCCCTGTATAAAGGGAAATGGTCCGATTTTAAAAAAAAGTATGTCGAATGAAAGAAGTATATATAAAGTATTTATCATTAAAGAATAAAGTTGATTCATGCATTTTTTAAAAAGTTATAGCAACATAATGTTAAAAAATGTAAAATATAATATCAAGAATTTTTTCACAAAAATAGCATATTTTTGCATACGGTAGTCATTTTCACCATGAAGACAAGTCCAGAGGTCAAATTTTTTTTTTTCAAATTAAAGTATATTACATTAGCTTTAATTTAAGGTATATATAAAATTGTCAGTCTTTCCGGAACATTTTCAAAAGTTAAGTTGAAAAAGTTAATTTTTTGTAAAAAAGTTACCATTTTGAAACCCCATCCTTTGGGCTGTTAAAGGGTCAAATGTTCACAAAAATATATAAAATGATAGGTAATTATCTAAGGTATCTATAAAAAAAAAAATTATATTGATTCGGTCATTTTTAAAAAAGTTATGGCAATTTTAAGTAAAAAAAATTGAAAAAATATCGAAAATTAGCGATTTTTAAATTTGTAATTTTTTGGGGGATTTCCCCCGTTTACGGGGAACGAGGGAATTTTTTTCAATTTTTGAGGGTAATGTCTTCGACTAGATACGATTTGTGATCTTTTGACATATTGTTCATCAAAATCGGTCCAGCGAGAGCTGAGATTGAGCGTTAACAGACACAAAAAAAAAAAATAAATAAATAAAAAAAAAAACACATCATAGTAAAATTAATACCTTTTCAGCTTCGCATCGAAGCTAATATCTGTTCTTAAAAGAAAACTTAACAAAAGTAATTGTAGCCCCCGCCCTAGCATTTACTATATAAGTATGTGTTAAAGCTAATTCCAATATAGTCAGTTTTTTCTTCATGTTTATAGATGAGTTGACTAAAATTATAAAGTAAATAATAAAGTATATCTATATTTATGTTCAGAGATAATCAAAGAAACAATAATCAGACATTTTATAATTGTTGTATCTACGGATTCATATATTGATTAGTTTTTACTGTAGCGCAAAGTACTTCTAAGCTTAAAACTGATGTTTTTAAACACTCTCAGAAATGATTTATCCATATTTAAAATTTAAAAAAACCTTGGTTTTAAATAAAATTACCTAACCAGAAATTCAAAAAAAAGTAATGGTTGTCATTTAGATCTCTTAAATCAGGGTAGATTTCTACCAAATTAGGGTTGAACTTCAATTTTAATCGTAGAAGATGCATTCAATTATTCAATTGACATTTATTGACAGAAAATTATTAAACAAACTAATAGCTGCTTTAAAAAAATCGGTGTTTCCATACTTTTTGAACAACCTGTATATATACATACACACACAAATATATAATTGTATTTGTATTAATACTTTAACACATTTTACTAAATTCAATTTAGTATCAATTTCGATTTAGCCAGATTTTTTTACATGTAAATGAATAGATTCACTAAAATAGTTGAGTATAATTAAGTATATCTACATTATTATTTACATAAATTATATTTCTAAAATAAAAAACTAATATATGATGACTGAGNATTATTATTTACTTAAATTATATTTCTAAAATAAAAAACTAATATATGATGACTGAGATTTTTATATATATTCAACTATTTCATTAAAAAATTGTTATTTGTTATTTAGAATAAAAACACTTTTAACATAAGTAAAACAAGAAGAGTAAAAATGAAGGTGAGTAATACACTTTTAATGAATTACTCGATTGAAAATTAAAAATTTATAATTTCTAGCATTGGCAATTAGTATTTTTTTTGATGACAACTTCTTGTTTGAAATTTAATGAAGGTAATTTAGATTTTATATTATTTATTCCTAATAAGTTATCGAGTATAGTGATATTGAACATCTGAAATTTTCTAATTATAATTTTATTAAGTTAACCTATTAATTTGGAAACTTCCATACATTTAAAAAAGCAATTGGAATTTCAAATAACATTAGATTTGACGATTTTGTCATAAATAATTGTAGTATTTATCAAGGTACCAAAATAGGTGGCATTACCTTTATGTCCTCTATTCATGTCATAGATATGTTTTCTTTTATTTTTTTCTCGTTCATCATATTCACTTGATAATTTTTTTATATTAAATTGTAAAACTTTTTTTTATGTTTGACGTTTAATAATAAAAAAAAGGTAGGATTTTCTTAAAAACCAATTTATTATCACAAAGTTCTATTATAATATTGCTTTATACATTATATTATGTACTTTTTGATTATTTTAAAACTATTTTTATTTATTTGTTTGATATTAAAATGTATTTTCAACACTTTTAGTTTTAAATTCAGTAAAACATTTTTGAACTAATTATTCTGTATTAATTTTAAATATTACATAAAAATCACAGTATATATATATGACCTTAGCTAAAATTTGAATTAAAATAATTAAATCATTATTGATGACTTTTCAATTATTTTACTGAACAATATTCCTAACCCTGACATTATAATATAGGTTTTTTTATACAGGATGTTCAGTAAGTCAGGAAACCCGTTTCCTGACTTACTGAACACCCTGTATATTTTATAGTTGCCAGAACGATAATACACCTATTTTTCTTACACGTATCGTTATTAGCGTTTGGAAAATTTTTATATAGATTAATATTTAATGAAATAAAAAATTATTTGAATTATTTATTTGCAATATTTTGTAAGAAAATCAATTAAAATAATTTTCTATTATTATTATTAATTAATTTTTATTCTAATAAAGTTTTGAAATAAATAACTATTTGATATAACATTATAATTACATAATATATTACTAACTACTATTTATTTATTAATTTTTAACAAGTATACACCCAAGTGTGAGTGGTAAACAATGTACGAGTTTTCACAAAAGAATATTGAATATTCAAAGAACTCGTTACAAAAATATTTAACAAATGTTAAATTTAAAAACTTTAAAAATATGTAGAAATATATCATACGATCGATTTTTATTAAGAAAATTAAATTTTAAAGGCAATAACCATTAAACGCACAACACATATTTATATTATATTCCCTATTATTCTCGAAAGTATGTGTCAAACGACCCAAATAATAATTTAATATTTCCTGTTCAACTATATTATAATATTTAATATTGTATTATTTATGTATTTCTTTATTAATCTATTATTATGAAATATTTTATTATTTTAAATTATATACTTTTATTTATATTATCATATTGTAAATTCAACAACTTAAACTAACAATGCATTTTATAAATTAGAATAATTCAAATACGATGTTAACTATTAAACTGCATGCAGCGATAGAATTTTAACAGAGTTAAACTCACAATAAAAAAAATTTAACTTTTTTCAATCTATTACATGATTTTATCATTCTATGGACCGGTGAATAATAATAATTTTTTCAATATTATTTATTTCTTCTATTTAGTATGGGGAGCCAAATCATGGACGAATATTTGAGAATGGAACTGACGGGTGTATTATATAAGAATTTTAAACATTGAACTCTTTACTAATACGTCTAATTAATACTAAGCTAGAAAAAATTTTATTACATACATATTTAATGTGTTCAGTAAAAGATGAGTTACTAGAGATTACAATACCGAGGCACTTAATGTTATTTACAATAATAAAATACGTAATAGTAAATAATAAAACTTTTTAAACATGTAATTGTGATTTCGAAGCAATTGTCTGCATTAATTATTAATTCATATTCTTGACACAAATTATAAAAGTTATTAAAATCCAATTGAACCTTATCAAATCATTAAATTTTTTAATTGACCTATGTAATTTAAAATAAGTTGAAAATAATAAAATATTTAAAATGGTTAAATTTCTCACACAAATTGTTATTAAAAATAATAAAAGCAATATGCGACCACCCAGAGGTATCCCCGACGTTACATTTTTATTTTAGAAATATAATTTCAAATTTTTATTAGTTCTCTTCTATTCATTATATACGACAAAAACCATTGTAACAGTTGATTACTTAAACAATAAAATTTTAATTGCTGAATTCAAATAGTGTGGTTTACATTATAGAAAGTTTTCTAAAAATATATAAATTAATATATAAAGTAACATAAAATATATAATATTATAATGCCAAACTTATTGTTGTAGCTTCGATGCGAAGCTGAGAAGTTATTCATTTTATTATGATGTGTTTTTTCTTTTATGTCTGTTGCCACTTTTTCTCAGTTCTCACTGGACCGATTTCTTTTAACAATACGTCAAAAAATCACAAATCGTATCTAGATGAAGACATTACCCTTAAAAATTGAAAATTTTCCCCTCGTTCCTCGCAAATGGGGGAAATATCCAAAAAAATTACAAATTTAAAAATCGATAAATTTTGTCATTTTTTTCTTAAAACTTCCAATACTTTTTTAAAAATAAACAAATCAACATAATTTTTTTTATACTAAAACCTTAGATATTTCCCTTTCATTTGATACCATTTTTTTGAAAATCTAACACATAACCTGCTCATTGGAAGGGATTTAAAATAGCAACTTATTTACAAAAACTAATTTTTTCAACTTAACTTTTGAAAATGTTCCGGAAATACTGCGTCCTTTCAACATATATAAAATTAAAGCTTATGTCATAAACTATAAAATTAAAAAAAAAAATTGTCCCGACGACCTATTTTCTATGCGCAAATGGCTACTGTATTCAAAATATGCTATTTTTGTGTTAATATCCTGGGTTTTATATTTTATTTTATTTTAAAATATCTTATAAGATCAATATACTGACTTTCATGAATATTATATAATTAAATTGACATAGAATAAAGTTCATAAGACATAAGAAATTAAACGTATCAATTTTTTTTTGCTTTTTTAAAGTCGAAAAAGTAACTTTTAAATTTTACTTAGCTTAAATTGCTAATTTTACCATGCGTCGAACAGTTTCTGAATCGGTAACACTTCTTTCTTTCACGCTTAGGGTACGAGGTTCAAATCCGCCTGTGGCAATTAATATTTTTTTTTTGAGTTAGAAAACAATTTTCAAATTATTTGATTTTTATCTCATTTAGATTCAGTAACTTTAATAAATATCAAAGATCCCATCACTATAGTCTCCCCTCGTAAGAAGAAAATTCTTATTCATGTTAATATTATATTACTATGTGGTTTTTTTTGTGGCTAAGATTTATTTTGCCAACCCTCACTTGACCTACTTTTATCAACGATACGTCAAATTATTACAATGCGTCTTTAGTTGAAGATATTACCCTTAAAAATTGAAAAAAAATCCCTTAATCAAATAACAAGTAGTTTGACCATCTTTATCCATACAAACAATTTAAATCATTAATTTCTAATATTTTTAAAGTATTTACTGTCGAATTTGATTTGATATTATATAATTTTATTTTGAATTTTATTAATTTTTTTTACTCTATTTGTGTGTGCTACTACCAGTCTATAACATTCCAAATTTGTGAGTAACATGTTGCTATATAAATCATAAATCTAAAAAAAAAAAATTATTTTTAGTTTCACCTGAATTTAACAACGGAGGAAATAAAAAATTTAATGTAAATAGTAATTATAAGATTTCCTGGTTGCATATTATATCTTAAGAATACCATTTTTTCTATTTAATGATGTCAATTTCAAACTTTAAAATTGAACTATAAAATATGGTAACAAATTAATTTTTTTTTATAAAATTTTCACTTCAAAGGACAATAAAAAATAGGTTTAAAATTTTTACTTTTCAAATATATAATAAAACATATTAAAAATAAAAATCAATAATAATTTGAAAACAATTAATTTTAAAAATTATATAATATATAATTAAAGAATTACTAATCTGGGTATAATTAAGGAAATAGAAGTTGATGTTGCTTTTGTAATTATCCATCAATTTCTTAGAATTAAACACTATATACAGATTTGCATCGAAGCGTTTCTTATGATAGTGATTTTAATCACTGTTAGATTAAATCTATACTGGACCCAACTGTGCCACGACTCCTGTTGCCGCCTGGGCTGTTCTAAAAAATCCAAAATAAAAATGGGGAATAGAATTCCGCCGTACGGCTTAAAATAGGGGCAACCAATAAACAACAAAAAAAGTTTCTAATCAATTTAAAATTGCTAAAAGAAAAATATTTTTTGTTAACACAAAATAAACTTACCCAGACCAATGAATACAACTAAATAATTAAATACGAACAATTGTACCTACTATTATCGAACCGAATAATCCATAAATATAATACTCCATACTACTTACATGCAGCTATGCTCTTTATGAATAAAGTGAATTACAATTTATAACAGTAAGACAATATCTGTAGTTTCACTGCAACAATTATTAACATTGAACATTTATATTGATAATTTAACAACTAAAATTTATACAACAATGAAATCATAACATCATTCAGTTTCTAATAACAAATTTAAAAAAAAAATTACATGGCTCATATAAATTTGTAAGTTTAAATCACGTATATAGGAACTGAGGTTATTTATGACTAACAGTTGAAAATAATTATTCAAAAAACATATAAAATAATAATGAACTAAATAAGTAAAATTTACATCGAAAACACATAAAAATACAATTAATGCAAGTTACTTACATTAATTATGAATAATATTAATAATGCGAACACATAGAATATTTAAAATACAAGATAATTAATTACTATAACATATTAAAAATAAAATTGATTTTTTTTTAACTTCATAAAAATACTACATATATTAGGCCATATCAGAATATTAGGCAACTAATTAATGGGATAACAATATTATAGGGGGTCATGTT